TGATTTCAGCTAGTGATCCCATGGCACACTAGCCTTCCCCCTGGGCAATGCTGCATATGCACATTGCAGGCTGAATGAGAATGGCGTTTTCTCGTTTGGAATTTAGATTTTCTCTGCTATCGCGAGCAGTGAGGGTGTGATTCCTTCCTGGATGCTTTCACTGGGGTGAAGTGCGATCAACTTTCGAGATCCTCCTTGCTTTTTGCGTATTATGTAAAACTCGAGCGTTCGTGAGGCGCCAAAGTTTTATGGAAACAGGTGCATGCGTATACACTACGCGTCGAACTTCACGCCTAAGTTTTAGAGCTCCCTAGACTTGCAGTGAGTTCGGACTACAAAGCTGTCTTTCGTAATCTGGCCCTGGATTTTTCCACTATAACTCAGACCCTTCCAAAAGTACCGCTCAAATTCATGAGCGGTGCAAAGACAGAAGCATAAAGAGTTTCTTGGGAATCTGAATGCTTTTACAGTTCACAAACAACAGAGGAAGAATGTTCCTTCCTTTATTTTAGAGCGATACAGTTATTTGCGAACACGCAACATCATAGCGTCCAGTCACGACAGTGCTTCATTACAGTCACGGCTTCCAGTGCCTCTGCTACTACGCAGGCATTTCACTCGGAAATAGCATGAATGAGTGTGACAAAGAAAATAGTGAGGGACACCAACGCATCTCTTCTTCTGCCGTTTTTTCGCCTTCGTCGCAAAGACAATTTTCCTTCAACAAACGTTTAGTAAACCGAATGTTGATTTTTTTCAATTTTGTACTTCTGTTTTTAGCAAAATTTTACTTTTTTTTGATTTTATCAAATCCTCCAAATCGCTGTTGCTATCTTCCGACTCCGAAGCTGAAAGCATAGATTGAGAATTGCATCTGCAGGAAATTGCAATGGCGAGCGAATAAGAAAAATTTACAGTTCAATTCAGCAGAATTAAACGATTTACCGATGATGGCAGTGATAAAATTTTGACTATTTTACATACTAGTGTTTCTTGCAAGTGAGCGGTGAAAAGAACTTCATCAAATCATGCCCTGTATTGTTTAGCCTAAGTATTTTTGCTCCTTCTGACGACATTTCCAGGCGACTTGGGAAACGTTCAGAAAAGTTATCGACCAGAGGACGTGCAGAGGAGGCAGTGTGCCGATGGATGGGGGGCTGATCTTTGACGAGGGGCCTTTGTGCACGACTTTAGGGGGCGTTCTTGCCATTTTAGGAAAAAGAATTGTCTCGGAGCGGTAGTGCATTCAGCTTTACTCGTTATTACAAAGTTGGGGTTTTAGGATGGAAGCTTTTGGTACCATTACTCGACTAAGAATTCTGTTAGCGCTGTCGACTGCCGCGAGAAGGATTAAATGTGGAAAAACAGTTGCTGCGCTCTCCCCACTGTGTTGATCGATGATTTTAATGTTACTTGTAGGCGGAACTGTACTTGAGATCAATTCAGGAGAGCTTGTTGATCTCTTGGCTAGGAGTGCGTTTTTGTTATTACTCTTGCGCTTCTGGGCCTTTGTCGGTTGTAGGTGTTCTTCCTGGTGCATTTGGAATTCGGTTGCTTCAGGGCTTGTGGTGCCTTCGCTTCGTTCTGGGTGTTCGGCAATTGTAGCGATCGTTTGCGAAGATATACTGCGCAAGGAAGTTTCATCTGAAAGTAAATATGTACTACTCGACTCTCTATCTTTTCGAACACACCGGCCAAACTCTTACCCTCAGCGATGTTAACGATGGCATTCGTTGAACTACCTCTACCCCCTCCCATCATAAACGATATTGGTGCTGCATACACGAAGTGTTTCGACGGCGCTGGATCTTTATAGCCTCTGCATTCACAACGACTCCTCCAACGACGTCAGATTTATTCTGGGTAAGTTTTAACGCCTATCAAAGGAATCATTACATGTTTACGACGGAAGGGAAAGGTGGAGGGAGGCACCAGAGTTACTTTAAGTTCTTCATGATGGTTTTTTAATTATCAGATTGGATGATAATATGCAGTCTAACAGCATGTTAGTATACAGGACGTTATATGCTGTGACTGTACCGCCATCATGCCAAGCTGTAAGGCCAGATCTTTTGCGTGCCTTTTAATAGGGCGCAGAGAATGAGAAATTTATTCCTATGTTCGTGAACCCATACGTGGCGCAGACTCGATGTTTCAAAATATCTAGCCTTCAAAACTTCAGAATTCAGTCATAATGGCAGATAAATTGACGCCTACATACAGAGAACCCCTTCCTCCTCCTCCTTCCCCCACCCCCCGTCCTTCGCCTAGCCAACTTCCCCCTTTCCCTCCCCCCTCCGCCCCTCCCTCTCCCCACGAAAAAGCAAAACAAAATGACGAATGCATATAACAAATAATTGGCCAACGCACGGGATGTCCGTGCGATGATGCGTTTTTTGCATATTTCCCCGTAGTTTTTGTCACTTCCGGCATCGGTTTTTTTGGCAGACCCTTCTAGCTAAACAAATTAAGACTGGCCGCCAAAACTGGCAGGAAACACCCGCTTAAAATTTTAGCTTTCTACGTTTCCTGACTCCCGGGTTAGCAACCTACTGGAAAAAATTTCTCACAAGCCCGCAAGCGGGTACCACTCATACCCGATATCTGGGTTTGAGCTCGTTGAAACTCACTTTGACGGGGAACATCATCTTAAAACTACGGTCTCTTAGTTTTTCAGGTTCTCGAGTTATGAACTTACCCGAGGATAACTTTGGTGAACCCGTGCGTAGGTACCATGCATGATCGAGGGCTGGGTTTAAGCTCGTTGAGATTAATGTGAACGGGGAGCATCCTTTAAATATTACAGTCTTCTAGCATCTTAGATCCCCGAGTCGTGAACATACCAGAAAAAATTTTGGCGGGCCCGTACGCGGGTACCACGCTTATCCGGGGGTTGTTTTTGAGCTCATTAGTAGCTACTTGCACAGGGAACATTTTCATAAAATTTCAGCTCTCTTGCTTTTCTGGTTCGCGAGTTAGCAGCTTACTTGTAAAAAACTTTGGCGGGCTCTTAAGTGGGTATCGCGCGGGAAAGACCGCCCATTTTGG